ATGTGTGTGTGAGTGTGTGTGTGTGTGTATGTGTGTATATATGTGTGTGTATGTATGTGTATATGTGTGTGAGTGTGTGTGTGTATGTGTGTATATATGTGTGTGTGTATATGTGTGTGTATGTGTATATGTGTGTGTGTATGTGTATATGTGTGTGTGTGTGTGTGTATGTGTGTGTGGGGGGGAAGCTCTTGGCATCAGCAGAGCCAGCACTGAACAGACCCAGAGTTCAGCCCAAGCCTGAGTTCCCAGCCCCTATGGTTTCTTTTGTTCGCAGTCTTCTAAGTGGCTGGGCCATTATTTGTCCCCCCCCACCGGCACCACCTGCCCTTTCGGCTTATATTGGATTGCGCCGAGGTTGAACTCAGGGCCTCGCACGTGCCAGGCAAGTGCCCTGCCCCAGAGCCACTTCCCCAGTTCCTTCCTGTCCTTTGTCATTGGCTTGTTCCTATATAATCTGAAGGAAAGTGGGCTGTTCCCAGGTGCATCTGCACATCCGAATGTCAGCGGCTGCACAGGGCTGAAACAAAGCCACAATTATTGTATCCAGAAACAAGCACTGAGATAGTGGTCTCAAAGCTTCCAGTACAAAAGGGTTGGTTTATATTTAAAAAGGAACTGAACTGAGTCTAATTTAACTTAAAAGCAAAGAAAAAAAACCCAAAAAACAAAAATAAAATTGAATACGAATGTAAAAAGCTTCAAGTAAGTGGTGGGGATTTTACCAAAAGATTTGGAAAGAAAAGCCAGGGAGTGCGTACTCACCAGCCCCCAGCTGTGGTAATGACAGGCCTGGTTCTGCACAGAAACACTTCCATGTCCCCTGCTCCAAATGCATGCTGCCCTGACTGAAGACACGGTGCTGCCTTTGTGTCTCTCCGGGGGGATGCTGCTTTCCTGTTCCAGCTGCTCCTCCACTGATCACCCAGAGCCCCCTCCTCCCCCCCCCCCCCGCCGCCCTAATTACCACCATTAGACCAGCATTCAGCTACACAGTGTGAAGTGAAGTTTGTAGCATGCACGTGATTCACGGCTTGTGAGTGGCAAGAAAGCATGGCAAGGCTATGAAGCCACTAGTGTGGTTTTTGGGGTTTCCTAGAAGCTTACAAAATGAAGGTGCATGTGTCCGGGTGCATACATGTCGGGGTAAGTGTGTGTGTGTGCATACATGTCAGGGTAAGTGTGTGGGTGCATACATGTCGGGGTAAGTGTGTGGGTGCATACATGTTGGTGAAAGTGTGCATGTGTGTGGGTGTACACATGTTGGGGTAAGTGTGTGTGTGTGTGTGTGTGTGTGTGTATACATGTAGGCCCATCTTTCAGCTCTTAAATTCCTAGTGTAACAATAGGCAGTATGGTGGTGGTGTGGACCCATTTGCTTTACGATTCAGTCAGTTAATAATGGCCAACAGCCATCTAGTGCTACTTAATGTCTGCTCAATAGGAGGGAATGCATGTCTAGAACTGTAAACTTAGCCAGCTACCATGGCTAGAGAGGTCATAGACCCTGGAGGAGAACCTGCAACTGCCACTTTTCAAATCAGTCTGTTTACTACCTGCATTCTAAATGCTTACCATGTACCTACGGATGAGTGCAGGGCTCACCCCCATCAAAGAAGCTTCCTTTCACAGCGTTCAGGAACCATTATAAAAAGCCACAACCGTTCAAAATGTAGAGAACAACTGGCCATGGGGTGCCCAGGCCGAGCTGGTATATCTACAACGCAACCCCTTCACTTACAGACCTACAGGGAACATCATAGAAGGGAGGGTAGAAGGGGAAGAGGAGGGGGGAGAAGAGAAGGGTTGACAAGAATTTGAGGGAATGGGATAGTCGAGATGGAGGAAGGACAGAGATGAGAGCAAGGAAAGAGATACCTTGATTGAGGGAGCCCTTATAGGGTGAGCAGAAACCTGGTTCTAGAGAAATTCCCAGGAATCCACAAGGATAACCCCACCTAAGACCCTAAGCAATAGAGGAGAGGGGGCCCGATCTTGACTTGCCCTGTAGTCAATTGATGATTACCTTAAATATCACCATAGAACCTTCATCCAGCAACTGGAAACAGAGGCAGAGACCCACATCAGAGCACTGGACTGAGCTCCCAAAGTCCAGTTGAAGAGTGGAAGGAATGAGAGTATGAGCAAAGAGGTCAAGACCATGATGGGTTCACCCACTGAAACAGTCTACCTGAGCTAATGGGAGCTCACCAACTCCAGCCGGACTGGAAGGAACAAGCATAGGACCAAACTAGTCCCTCTGAATGTTGTTGACAGATGCGTGGTTAGGGCAGACTGAGAGGCCACTGGGCAGTGGCACCAGGATTTATCTCTACTGCATGTCCTGGCTTTTTGGGATCCTATTCTCTTTGGATGGATACCTTGCTCAGCCTAGATATAGTATGGAGGGCCTTGGACCTTCCACAAAGCAATGTGCCTTACCCTCTCTGAGGATTTGATGAGGGTGGGGTGGGAGGGTGTGCGGAGAGAATGGGAGGAGGGGAGAGAGTAAAAAAATATAAAAAATAAAAAAAGAAGTAGGGTTGGAAAGATTGTAAGATAGACGGGGGAACAGGAAATCTGCTGTGAGGTAGTTGTATCTTCTGCATATGACAGGGGAGCTACATTCATGAAATCTCAGCAACGGTTGCCTAAAAAAGGCCAGCACAATGGCAACACCAGTTAATATGCCAGTAAGGATGGAGAATTCCCACAAGCCCACACCCAGGTGAAGAGCTTCAGGCAATTAGTAATGGCTGCCCAGTGAGCAAGAATCAGACTTCTCCAGGGATGAGCCTGACAAGTTATCCTGTCCTAAGTGGTTAGCCCGAAACACACAGAGGACAACAGTAAATGGATTCTGCAGATTGAACTTGTATCCGTCCGTCTGTCCATCCATTCATCCATCCATCCATCCATCTGTCCATCCATCCATCCATCCATCCGTCCATCTGTCCATTCATCCGTCCATCCATCTGTCTGTCCATCTGTCCATCCATCCATCCATCCATCCATCTACCCCCCCAACCATCTATCTATGCAACAATAACAAAGAAAAGGTAAGCGATTTGAAAGAAAGTGGGAGGAGCTGGAGGGGGGAAGAAGAAGAGGTAGACATGATATGAATACAGTACTCATGTATGAAATTCCCCCCAATACTTAAGTCACAAGAAGAAAACATATGGAAAAAGAAGAAGAAAAAAATAAAAAAAAGATCTTTTTACAAAAAGATAATGGAAACTTGGAGCCTGGTATTGAACCAGGAGTAATGGTCACACCTATTCTCATTGTGGGGGCAGAGCTACAGCCCGTGCTAGGCAAGCCCTCTCACTGAGTCCTGCCACAGATGACAGGTGACCCACTCAGTGCTGGAGACACAAAGGAGAGAGACACCAGGGCCTCTGGCCACCGGGGATTTACATCAGAGCCGAGGAGATACAAGCACAGACGTAAGACTGACTCGTGGGGCCAGACAAGCTTAGAATCAGGGTTGAGCTGGTCAGAGAGGCCACCTGACGGCGAGTCTTCACTGATCTTGAGCTGAGATCCATAAAATCAACAGACCTGGCACAGAGGGGCAGAGGACAGATACATCAGGGGCAGGGATCCTGTGTCAACGAGAAACATAGCCGGTGAGGTAGCCTTGAGTAATGGCAGCGTGGAGGAGCACACGGTTACAGGAAGTAGGACAGAGCGCTGGAGAGTAGGCCCATGGCAGAGAGAGCAGGCCACGGGAGGTGCCCCATGACAGAGAAGTCTTTGGAGCCGTGGAATTAGGACAAAGGTTTATGGTTAATTACCACAAATGAGTCTGGAAATGTCACAAGCTAGCAAAACATAACCAAAGCAGAATCAAACATATGAGTTTGATTAAAAAACCAAAAAATGGAGGGGCTGGAGGAGGTGGCTCAGTGAAGAAAATGCTCGCTAGTCCAGCTTGAGGAACAGCGTTTGGGGCTCCAGCACCTTTACTCAAGTGGGGAGCAATGGCAAACGTCTGGAACCTCAGCTTGGTGGGAGGGAGGGAGGGAGACGGAGCGATTCTGGGGCTGCTGGCCAGACATTTTATCCAAAACGATGAGCTCCAGGTTCAATGAGAGACAGTAATTAAAAAGACCCTAACAAATGTCAGGGCATGACAGGCAGAGCTGTCACTGGGCCATCCACACTCATACCCAAGAATGTGAAACCTGGGTTGACAGCAGCTCATCTGCCACCACTGATGCTCTGGGTAGAGAAGGTGCTCGGCTCGGGAGAGGGGACTGGAAGTGGGGCTGCCTTTGGTCTTGGGTGCCATTGTAAATAAACTCTAGCCAAGCCACTGCCACAGCCCTGTTCTTCTCCAGCCACAGCGCAGGCTCTCAGAGGCTGGTGGGGGTGCTGACAACTCCTGGCTTCCCCAGGCACTGGCAAGAGCTCAGCATCAAAGGCAAAACCTTTCGATTGCTGTGAGGGGTGGTGGGGTCAGCTGGAAGCTGCTCTCTGATCTCCCTGGGAACAGCAGAGGCCCTGCGGAGCTCAGACATGCCAGGGTGGCAGGAAGGGGAGCCCTCAATGGAAGCAGAGTCAAGGAGAAGCATACAGCACCTGCTCTCCTTGCCTGTGTGTCAATCCTTATCGCCACGGGACCAGGGTCCTTGCTCTCTTGCTCTGGAGGTTGCTGTAATTATCGGGCTTCCTGAAGACCATCCTGCCCCTTCGTTCCTGAGGGTGACAGGGAGGAATGGCTGAGGATGTCACCTCCGCCACTCAATGGGAGACACGTGGTGCCCACAAATCACAGGGCACAGCACCTGTGCGGCGCCAACAGCCGGTTCTCCAGCCAGACAGCTGGTGATTACGAGCATTTTGTATTCAAAATGTTGTCAAACACGCCCTTAAAGTGTCCTGCTAATGATGGGAGTTATTTAATGTCATGTTATTAAGGACATGTAAAGAGGAACCAAATGTTGAATAAAGAGCCAAAGAAGGAGAAATAAAAACCCAACAGAGGGATCTGGTTGGTAGTCACAAAACCCAACTTTTTATTGAAGTATCACACACGTACAGAAAAGCACCCGAAAGTAGACAGCCGGGAGAGCTTTCACAACCTAGACATATCAAGATGACAGGCAGCTAGTTACAGAGACAGAACATTCCAGAAGCCTCTCGTGGCCCCCTCTGTTGCCCCTTTGAGAGTAGCTACTGTTCCTCCTTGAATCAGCATGGGTTGGCCTGCCGGCCTGTGCTGTGTGGAAATGGAACGGTAGGCTTGGGCTTGCCTGCTCTCAGTTTCTCCACCAGGCCAGTGAGCTGTGGGTGGAGCTGAGACCATCATGGGAATGACCCTCATCAGCTTAGCCCTTCAACACGGGCATAAGGGGCCTTCTGCTTAGGGGTGACTATGACCAGGGCTTCCATGGATACTCCAGCACATTCCTTCTGACGGTATGTACACGTTTGTCGAGTTTATTACACTCAGGAGTGGAGTTGAGCTCACACAACATTTGCATCCAAATGAGGAAATTTCATGGAATAATGAGTTTACTGGATGGATCTCAAAGACTCTGGCAATTAACAAGTCTGGGGATAAGTAGAGAGAAGTTGGGGGTGAGAAGGCTCAATGGATCCCAGGTGTGCCACGGGAGTGTCTTCCCGGGACAGTTACTAGTGGACACACCATCCACAGGAGGACGTAAGAAAGATGGCTGGAAACGGGGGACAGTAGAACAGAGACAGTTTGGCAGGAGACTAAAGCACACTCTTCTTCCGATCTATTTTGCCACCCTTGGTGCTGTCCCACTTCCTGGGCTTTTGCGGATCATGACGTACTCTGTCAGGTTAATGATGCCAACATGGGCCATAGAGATCTTGTTATAGCCCAACCAAACCTCACGGAATCTTAGCCTCTTATCTCATGTACAGTAGCAAAACTTAGAATGGTTTCCACAAAAGCTGCAAGAGAGGGTAGCAAGGCACAAACCCATGATAATATAATAAAATGACATTTTACATTCCTCCTCATCAGAAGCATGGTATCTATGAAGTCACATACTCTTCCCAACATTACAGGCTGTCATCTAGCATATCTTGGTTTTCAAGGATAATCAGAGCCTTACGTAGTTTCTGCCCTGGCAGAAGATCAAGAGGGGTGATAACATTGTCTGCAGTTTGCTGGTTGGCACAGCTTGGCACACAACGGCTTGCCCAGCAGCACAGCAAGGCTCTCCGAGAGCCAGAGGAGCGGCAATTTCCAAATATCTACAAAGCAAACGTCCTCACTACACCTCAGCAGCCGTGCCTTTATCAGGAGGGCAGGGGGGTACTCTAGGTGGGGCCCACAACCTTGTGCTGGGAAACCCCAGGGTTTACTGCTATCTGGTCTTGGAGAACCCACCTATCATCTATCACACATGACCAGAACCAAGGTTGGTGAGACTTCTCCCAGCAAAGGTGGGAGCGAGGGGACAGCCAGTTGGTGGGCAAATGTGTTTGCTTCCTTCCTGGCGTGTAGTTAGTTAGGTATTGGTTATGGTGATGTACACCCGCAACAGGCGGCCACACTTCAGGGATTCAGGAAGAGCTTTAGGGATGAGCTACCCACATATGGAAGTTGTGGTTTGCCGACACTCTGTCTGCAGCCTTGAGCAAGCGTCATTTCTCTGTCCCCCGGATACTAAGTCTCTAAGCCAGACCCACCCTGTAATGTTTATGGTTAGACCAGCGATGTTAGCAGCCGTCCTGTCTCAGATCGGTGAGCGGCAACGCGACTCACTCTGACTCACTCTGATCCACTATCTCAGGGCAGGGAGGACTCTGCTGAGACTCCAGAGGGCCCGGAACCGCACTCCTCGCCTTACTAGAGACACCAAACAGGAGGAGTGGCATTTGGACTGAGGCGGTGGCCAGTGGGGCTGTCCTGTGAGTATCTACAGTCAAGGCTGCCTTGGTGTCTATACCACAAATGCATTTTTCAGAAACATCAGCTCTGGAATGTTCGGTGAGAAGCAGGTGGAGACATTAGCCATAGACAGGGCCTGACCCATGGCCCCTGACAGAGATGCCAGAGGAGAAAGAGACCTCACCCTTACGTGTGGCTGGCCGGTATGCTCTCGTTTGATACTGAATCACAGTGCGTGGGAGACACTTGGGCATGGTTTTGGTTTCAATGAGTTACACTGAAATTTATTAGCTGGATATATCTACAGTTGGGAATGAATATTTAAAAATTGTAGACCCTTAAATCCACACTTTTACATGGCACATTTGTTATTGGCTATAAAAATGACTGTTTTCTTCTCTGTGGATGGAAATAACAAAAATGAAATAAAAAAGAAGAAGAAACGGTATCATGAGGAAAATATGGTAAACCGAGATGAGCCCAGATGACGATTGGTCGGACAGAGATGGGGTCCGTGTGGGGGGCATGCCTCTACATGGGAGATGAGCCCAGATGACAAGTGGTTGGACAGAGATGGGGTGCGTGTGGGTGGCATGCCTCTACACGGGAGCGTGCACGTCTCTACACGGGAGCGTGCACGTCTCTACACGGGACTTTTTACTGCAGGAAAGAGCCTGCTGCATCTTCGTCACCACGGGCATTAAAGAATGGTGCAGAAGAACTTCTTCTCCCGGAAGGGGTTTTCCAAGGCAGGCACTGGGATGATGAGGGGTTCCTCCCGCACGTGGGCTTCACAGTAGGCCAGGAGGTCCAAGGCTGCTTGGGAGACCTGTGGGGACACAGCACAGGTGCTTGGTTAAAGGCGTTCACAGAGGGGGTCCAGGCTGAGGTCCACAGGAAGAGAGGCCATGGCCAGAGTCAGGCCGAATGGTGCGCAAGATCAAACAACGCCAGGGGCCGGAGGGTTTGGGTAGAAGCGAGGTGGTGGGTTTGGAAGAAAACGTAAGGACTGGCTGCCCTACAGTGCAAGGTCATGGTCCAGAGAGCTGATGACATGCTGAGGGGGTAGCTCAGTGGCTCAGAAGTAGTGCTCTTGCCCAGCATGGACTCGATCCCACCTTCGACAAGTGAGCAGAGAAAACAGAGCAGGGCAAACTCCCAGAGACTCTGCAAAGCCATTTCTTTTTATTTTAATATTTATTTATTTATTTATTATGTATACAATATTCTATCTGTGTGTATGCCTATAGGCCAGAAGAGGGCACCAGACCTGATTACAGATAGCTGTGAGCCACCATGTGGTTGCTGGGAATTGAACTCAGGACCTTTGGAAGAGCAGGCAATGCTCTTAACCTCTGAGCCATCTCTCCAGCCCCTGCAAAGCCATTTCTGTAAGAACAACATAGAAGCTATTCCTAGCCCAGGCAGGCTGATTGTACTTCTTAGTATTGGTTTTTCTACAATCTACTCTCATGGACAAACAGGGAAGGATACTCTGTCCCCTTCCACAGCCCCGCTATTAAGCTCTGCTTTATAAGCTCTCATCATACAAAATGCATTTATTATTATATAATATTATTATATTAGTACATAATGTACTTATATACTAATGTGTGCACACGGGGAAGGGAGAGGGTGCACACATGCAGAAGTCTGAGAACAATGTCTTTGTGGAGTCAGTTCCACCCTCTCATTTTCACCTGGGCTCCAGGGAACAAAATCAGGTCCTCAGGCTTTCATGGGACTCCTCTTCACTTGCTGAGTCCTCTCACTAGCTCAAGGTCACCTCTTCTAGTGACAGGCAGCTGCTCCCTACAGACAGGCTGCTACTGACCAGGAGCCCTCTCTTCTGTTTTCCTTCCAGACTTTTCTTGATCAACAAGTGGAAACTGTATCACAAACTTCCCCAGTTTGAGTCCAGATAAGGAGCCGGGTGCTCACAGAGAGGGTGATGCTGTGTCTTTTAATGTGGTCTGCCGCCAGCAGGTGTGGCCCAGATTTAGGGTGGGTACTCTGACCTCGAATGATCCAGACTTGGGATGGGGTCTTCCCACCTCAAAAGATCTACTCAAGAAAATTCCTCACTGTTTGGGTCTTAGTTGATTCCAGATGTAGTCACACTGATAAACTGAGATTGGCCATCACAAGAAGTGAGGGGAGAATATCCTAAGGCCCCCTTCCTAGCCAGCCACAAAACCTGCTTTGGAGTTTTTCCACCTTCGATCTTTAGAATTTTTTTTTTTGTTGATTTTTCAGCCCAGACCTGTCTGTGTCTGTGGTATCCCGATTCCTACAGGTAATGCCCGCAAACACAAGTTGATTTTTTTTTGTTTTGTTTTCTCTCAAAGAAAATAACTATACATTGAGTGGGTGAGTCCAGTCCAATCCTGATAAATGCTATGTTTGCTGGGAGTGTGGAATGAGAAAGAATCTGTTTGTATCACTCTTTCTTCCTGGAAATAAACCCTGCCTTCCTCGGGGCTTTGTTAGGTATTTTGCCGGCATTAAGAAAAACAGTTAATGGGAAAAGGAAAACCGGTCAGCTGATGAGAGGGCATGATGGCCAGGTCCAACAGGCCCAAGTGGACTCCTCCAGGAGTCTCCTGCAGTGAAGGACAGAGGTGGGGATCCCAGGGGTTGCCAGAGGGACGGTTGGGTAGACGAACTGCCTTCCCTCACTGGTGGCTGTAGTCGGACAGAGACAGCTTTTCATCCTGGTAGAGGTGAGTATGACTAACAGGAAGAAATCGGCATTTACTTTGAACTTTAGAGCAGGCATGTGCACTCAGGTCCTCTCTTTCTGTGCCACAGCTATGTCCCTCACTGTGTGACTCCTGATCTGTGCGTCCATCAGAGTCGTCTCTGTGGCTCATACTCCCATCCCTTGTCATGGCTAAAGATGCAAACTTGGCCTTCCCCTGGGAAATTCCCATCTCGAATGTGCAGTTAGTTAGGATTTAAAAAAGCCAACTATGCTATTAAAGGCAGAACCACAGACTACAGGTAAAACAAGCTTAGTCATAAAACACCCCTTGATGTCACTAATCCGGAGGTCAGAGAAGGTGAGTTCCTTGCCCAAGATCACATACAAGTTTTGGAGTAGAAGCAGGACAAAAAGCCCGAGGTCAGGGATGCAGATCCAACAAACCCAGGAGGCAAGAGTTCAAATTGGCCCCTTTGGTCATTCCGCCGTCCCCCAAGATGACCCTGTTATCGTACCTTTTATCTCATCTGTCTACCTTGCTAAGCTAATTGAGAAGATGCCAGGGGTAAACCAAGACACTAGAGCCAAGCAAGAAGACTCAGAAATAACAAAGCCACCACAGACATCTGTTGAAGCAGAGTCACAGCTGTGGAGGCAGAGGACTGGCAGTGGGCAGTTACCTTTGTGCACAATCCTGCTGCTGACCTACAGCTGGCTTGTGAGTAACCAGGGCAACCAGGGCAGCTTTCCTGCCCCTTGACCACTTTACCTTTATATGAAACCAGCAGCGCTGGGCGGTGGTGGCGCACGCCTTTAATCCTAGCACTCGGGAGGCAGAGTCAGGCGGATCTCTGTGAGTTCGAGGCCAGCCTGGTCTACAAGAGCTAGTTCCAGGGCAGGCTCCAAAGGTTCAGAAAAACCCTGTCTCGAACAAACAAACAAAAACAAAAACAAAAAAATAAAACAACAACAAAAAGAAACCAGCAGCACACACTGTGTGTGTGTTGTGTGTGTGTGTATGTGTGCGCCTGGAGGAAGAACTTCAAGATCCAAGCTCCTCTCTAACCCCCGTGTCTGTGACACCTGGCAATTATGCTGGGCGTCTCTTCCGCCCAGCTCTCAGCAGGTTCTATCTGGTTCTATCCAGAAGTTTTCGCAGTCCTGTCACAAAGGTGAGGCTATACTTGATGCCATCTTGTTCCTCTTAAGAGAAAATGTTGTTCTTAGATCGCCTTTTTTTTTTTTGGTGGTATTTTTGGAGACAGGGTTTCTCTGTGTAGCCTTGGCTATCCTGGAACACACTTTGCAGACCGGGCTGGCCTCGAACTCATAGAGATGCCTTTTCCTCCCTGGTGCTGGGAAGAAAGGCATGCGCCTACCACCACCTGGCTATTAGGTTGCCTCTTTTTCAGCTGTTTTTTTTTCCAGACTGTAGCTGCATCTATTCAGCCATAACTGCACTTCTAGATGGAGCCCATTTGCACACCTGAATGGCCCAACAGAATCTGCAGAAGTAGACTCAGTGCAGGGAGAGGCACTTGGTGTATGAGCACAAGAGTGTGGACCTGGGTTGGCTCTGCACTATGCCAGTTTTCTAGCTGGACTCACAACTGCTGACACATGGTTGTTGGACTCAGAATGACTGACACATGGTTGTTGGACTCAGAATGACTGACACATGGTTGTTGGACTCAGAATGACTGACACATGGTTGTTGGACTCAGAATGACTGACACATGGTTGTTGGACTCAGAATGACTGACACATGGTTGTTGGACTCAGAATGACTGACACATGGTTGTTGGACTCAGAATGACTGACACATGGTTGTTGGACTCAGAATGACTGACACATGGTTGATGGACTCAGAATTACTCACACATGGTTGTTGCACTTTGAAAGTGAGTTTCAACACTTGAAAAGTTTAGGGTGCTCACAAATGGATCACGTGACCCCCCCTCCCAACAGGCTCCAATGTTACTGCAGGACTGAGCTCCTGACAGGGAGGAGAGGTTAGCCTGCATTTTCTCCTGCCTTGCCTCCCCACCATGTTATGACACAGCTCAGGGACCCTGCGTAGCACAGTTCCTTACTCTTAGACTTCTAGCTCCATAGCTAGAAAACACCTTCCTTCCCTCCGTCCTCCTTCCTTTGTCCTCCCTCCCTGCTTCCCTTCCAGTCTTTCCTTCCTTTCCTTTCTTTCTCCTTCCTTCTCCCCCATCTTCTATTTTCCAACCATGGAATTCTGTTACAGCTGCAGAGCATGGACTCAAACAAAAAGCCCGAGGTCAGGGATGGCGGTCTAAGGATCCCAGGAGGAAAGGGTGGTTCACACGTGGTTACCCTAGTTATTCTACACTCCCAACAAATCATCTTATTTCATCTTCTGACTATGCACTGCTAATTCCGAATTCTTTACTGGACTTACCTTTTGCTCAAACAATTACACTGTAAAGAATGACCTACTTAGCCTAGGCACGTCTAATGCAGTGTCAATTATTTTGATCAAGGGAATTTCTACCTCAACAAGGCCCCCTCAGTTCACACAACAGTGTCCGTCCAAAGTCTATTTATGTCAGTATAAGCAAAGCAACTTGAATATCTGCCAGTGCTCACTACACTGTGTTCAGAGACGATAAACACAGTAAAGACGGTTTTCAGGCGTGGAACATTACACACGAAAGATACCATCATGGCTGTGGGGGTTATAATTTAGAATCACAGAGGAAACACACCCAGAGGTGTGTCTATGAGGGTGTTTCCAGAGAGGTTTGACTGAGGTGGGGTGAGCCAGACCGAGTGGTTCTCTCCCACAAACTGGGGTCCTAGACTGAACAGAAAAGAGAACAGGAGCCTTGGTCTCTCTCTGCTTCCCAACTGCTAATGTGATATGACCAGCTGCTTCATGCTCCTGCCGTGCCTTTCCATCCTGATGGGCTGGGTCTGCAAACCATGAGCTCTTCCCTATGTTGGTTCATCAGGTGTTTTTGTCATAGCCATGAAGACAGTAATACCCTGGCCCACAGTGCTCCATCCCAGCCTTAATCGGCCTAACTGCCGCCAGCCAGGGCCAAAGGAGGTTTTTCTTAATTAGATTGATTTTTGTGGCTTAAGGTTTCCCTTCC